GCGATCCTCGGCTGCGTTGAGCTCCGGTGGCCCATCGCGCTCGCCAACCGCAGGAATATTCCGGTGGCTGCGTTTTGGACCATGTCGGCGTCGTTTTACTCCATGTTACATCACCTTCATGTCTTCGCACCACACCCGGATATTACCGTTTCTATAGATACGCTCGGTAAATCGCTTCTTTACTTCTCATTTTGCTTAATAAATTGACTCAACTCAAGCTCAAATTATCGACCTAAATATAATTCCTATTAATGTTTTTTTTTAATTTAATTAGAATGTATTAATCGAATAAAAGATTGTTAGATGTATATCGTAAGATTGTCGACTTTCATGATATTTATTTTCTAGATATATAGTGTAATTTCTAATTAGTCCACAATGTAAAAAAATAAATAAAATTACACTTTCATTATGAAAAATGAAAGCCTTTTTTTAAAAGAAAAATGAAGACAAGCCAAGTCCCCTAAATTTCAAATAATTTGTGTTTCCATATAGATAGATAGACACTTAAGAAATTTGTCGTTAAAAAAATGGGATAAGGATGGAGACCAAAACACTTGTTTACTAATAAAAATAAGATGTTTATTAAACTACAACAAACTTCTGTTTCTTTATCGAGACTATTAAAAACAATCTAAATTGACCAGGGGATGATGTTAAATTTGAGATTTAGTAGTAAGAATTTGGCAGTATGTTCATTAATATAAGCAAGCATTCTTCAATCTGTTGTAGTGATTAGTGAACAGGTATAAGTTCTATGAGGGTCTCAGTTTAGAATGAGTCTTTTTAAATAACCTTCGGCAGTGTTTTTTTTAGTAGGAAAAAATAAGAAGGAAAAATTAAAATTAATTTTTATATAAAATAAAACTAACTTATACAAAAGTTAAAAATAAAATTTTAATTTTGTAGAAGTCAATAGGAGAGAACTTTTATAAATTAGATAATACATAAGTTAATTTTAGTTTATAAAAAGAATTATTTTTTTTAAAATTTTTTTCTATAGGTATTTCTAGAGCTAACATGTCCAACATATGCTAACTTGTGGGATACGAGCTGAAATAATGTTTTGCAAAACACATTCTTTAGTAATTAAATGGGACTATGTTCCAACTAATATTAATTCCACAGTCAAAAGGACCAAAACTTGTAGGAAAATGTTAAGGTCCCACTAAAGAGCTAAATACTGTAATTAAGGTGGTTACCAGCAAATAATTGTGAGTTGGCATAACTGATAAAGGGTAAAACAATTTTTATTTCATATCATGCAAAAGATTAATGCAATTGCATATGGGTGCATGTCTGATCTTCTTTTATAAATGATGCAGATGAAGAAGCAAGCAACATCCCAGGAATTTCTTCAGCTCATTTGACAGACCTTCGAACTGTACTTCATGACAACGATCAACGAGTCCTGCAGCTTGCATTGGAATGTATTTCGAAAGTTCCCAAAGCAAATTATCTTTTACTCACAACAGTCCAAGAGTTAGAAGCTGAAATAATTGAATCCTTAAAAGCTATTTTCCCCTTTCCAGTCTATCCTACTGGCCCTGCAATACCTTATTTAGAACTAGGAGAAAGCCCTTCTTACGTGAACAATGATCATAGTCATGACTACTTAAAATGGCTAGATTCTCAGCCACCTGAATCAGTATTGTACATTTCTTTGGGTAGTTTTCTTTCAGTGTCCAGTGCCCAAATGGATCAAATTGCTGAAGCACTAAATAATAGCAACATTCGTTACCTTTGGGTGGCTCGAGCTGATGCTTCTTGGTTGAAAGACAAGTGTGGTGATAAGGGCATGGTGGTGCCATGGTGTGACCAATTGAAGGTGTTGTGTCATTCTTCCATAGGTGGATTTTGGAGCCATTGTGGATGGAATTCCACTCTTGAAGCTCTCTTTGCTGGGGTGCCAATGCTGACATTCCCTCTTTTCTTGGATCAAGTTCCAAATAGCAGCCAAATTGTAGATGAGTGGAAGAATGGGTGTAAGGTACAGACATCAAAGTTGGGCAGTGAAGAGATTGTGGCAAAAGAAGAGATAGAAGAACTGGTTAAGAGGTTTATGGATGTTGAAAGCCAAAAGGGAAAGGAGATCAGAGACAGGGCTAGAGAAATCAAGGTTATGTGTCACAGAGCGATTGCCACAGGTGGATCCTCAGATGGAAACCTTGATGCATTCATTAGAGACATTTCAAAACCACTGACGCATTGAGCAACTATAAAGTGTTGGATATTGTATTTAACCTTGTAAAATGTCTTGTAACTGAAAGTGAGTTTGACCTTTTACATACATTAAGCAATTTGAGATCCGCATGCTACTTACCAATGCTCCAAAATGCAGTTTACTGCAGATATTTAAGTCTTTTAATAGAGATGCTTTATTTTAGAAACTGTGAGGCGATACAAGATATACCATACAGGTAATGCTTTAAATGGCCCGGGCATTGTCACACTATGTTCTCCCTTTAGAGCCTATTTAGCCAAGGAAAAAAAAATCAATGGGACATCCAAAACATTTAAAATCTAAAAACAGAATCCATGAAGGGAATGAATGGACGTTGATTCACATAAACAGAAAACATTAGATGATAACAGTAATGAGTCATATCATTACTTGCATAAGTGATAAAACAACATGCACATATGTCACAATAAAAATGTAACCATATATCACAATAAAAATGTTCCCATTATGATATATGGTTTCTTTATAGTCAGGACTTTTCATCTAAATAAACATATATGGTGCAATTGATGTTTAGCATTAATCATTTATAATAGGATCAACCACATTTACACTAATATATTTGGAAATATAAATATGCACATAAAATTACATGAAGTATCTATTTGCGCATGTGTTTTGTTACTTTAAAATAAGAAACAAAATTCTCCCAAAAAATTATGATATTTTTTATGTATCTACTAACACAACAAGTTTTATAATAATAGAAACAATTCACATGTGAAAGCAAAGTCACAACAAATAATGTAAGTTGACCTCTTAACATGATGTTTTCGAATGCATCACAATTTACCACCATGACCATATGATTTATCATGTTAATTGATATTAGTTAGTATACCACTTGACCAACTATGCATTGATACCATTTAAAATAATGGTTGAATAATCAAGGATCTAAGAATTTTTTTTAACTATTCACACATTTAATAACACCTTCATTTTTTCCTAACTTGTGTGTGTCAAAAGAAAAATAGTGACATTCATACACGGGGATTAATGGCAAAGACAAATGAAAGCTTTTTATATATATATATATATATATATATATATATATATATATCTTTTTTTTTTTATTTTTACTTCTGATTGATATTTGATATTTTACTAATGAAAAACAATGTTTGCTTAATACCTTCAACAACATGGAATGAAATTGACAGTAAAAAAATTAACTTTTTTTCAAATAATTCAATTTTCAAAGGGGAAAAAAAGTTGGGTAATGAAAAAAAAAAACTCTCACCTCAATGTCTAGTAGAGAAAGATAAGGACAAAAGCAAAAGAAGGGTCGTTCATGAGTTTTCTTCACCTCTTTTCTCTCGACATCTTTGGATAGAGCCACATGGAATTTGAAATTTAAAAATTGTGCTAACTCTTTCTCATGTTTTTTCATATTATATCAAACAAAACATTTAGGTGAAATTTATGCTATATGTCTAATTGTTGGCAGCTTAATCTTTGGCAAGACACATGACAACCACTACAATCACCCCATTTCTCTTGTACGATCTACTGTCTCTTTCAAAAATACCCCAAATTTTGGCTCTCATCTCTCTCATACAAGAAAAACAACATGAACCATCTACTTAATCAACAAAGTGGTTAGAGCATTGTAATTTGAAGAATATAAAACTTTAACATTAACATATTAGGTTCAAAGTGAACTTTTTTTTACATGATATACACAATTCCAAGTTTTCTTAACATAATAAAATGTTAGTATAATTAATTTCTTAGCCATGTACATCAAATAAGTAATAATTTTTTCTCGTGAACATAACTAATACACATACTCAAATGAAACCCACATGTGGCTCAAGACCATTCGTTAGCACAAAATTTTTTACAATTGAAACCTAGACCTAAAAACATAATGCAATTTGAAAAACATACAAAATATAGAGCAAAATTTTTGACCCAACCACTTACTCACATATGTAACTGAACCAAAATACCCTAACTTAGGTCAAGTTCCAAATCAGTGAGAAAAATGCACAACCCATATCCAAGTTATAACGAACACACGAAATCGTAGATCCAACAATCTGAAACATAACCTCAAATCAAATGTACAAATTACTTAATGAATTAACCTAATTAAAAATAAAATAGATTGAAAAAACAAAAGTGAAATAAATGAATAAATAAAGAAGGCCACACATTTGTATTGGAGTAGAAGATCCATGACCGAATATGAAAGTCATTCCCATGATAGAGAACGTTTTCTCCCATCTAAGCTTCCCACGTCAACCTATAAAGCCTCGTGAAGACACGAGTCGTCATGGGAAGATCAAAAACACCCATGAAGGATGCATGGCACCAAATCCTAACACCGTTTCGCATTGCCTTGCATCGCCTAAGATTCTCAAACGAATGAGAATGCCCAAGAGATTCTCTCTCTTATTATAAGGTACAAATACTTTCACACTTTGCGACACGACGTGATTTTCGACTTGTTAGCTAGAATTGGATGCTTCCATCTACTCAACCATGATATTCCACCGCAACTCTTGGCCATCGTCGAGTGCCTCTAGCAAAGCGAGGGTCAACGATGAGGTCAACAAAAAAGTTATGGGGATTCAAGGAGTACCACACGAGGGAGGAGAATGAAAAAGGGAGTAAACCAAACAATTCACCTCTTTGGAGCTCATCTTTCTCATAAAATAATGGAGAACAATATAAAAAGAACAAAAGAAATCTCTGAACAAATATTCCTAAAGCATAAAAACTGCGTACAAAAAATTAAAGAGTAGAAAAGTCACTCACACTCACTTTAATAGATTTCATTACCAAACTTGTGAACAATAAACTACAGTAACTTTAAAAACTCCTGATTGTATGTTGTATTTGATTGATTCTTATTCTTATTATTTGATTATAGCGGTCCAATTTCATTTTTGATGATCACTTACATCTCTAATTTGTCATGTTGAGGGTTGTGGCAATCAAGGTCGTCATGAGATGGAAAAAATGTATTAAAATTTAAGGAGTCACCACTAATGTTTATTTTAAGGAAAAATATTAGAAAAATCATAAAATAGAAAAATAGTCTACGAAAATAGATTTTTGAATTTGAAAGTCATTTATGTGAAAAAAAAAAGGTATTAGCAATTTAGCACCCTACACGCTCGTTGTAAAAATGGATACTTGTAATAAATTAAGCAAAATATTTATAACTTTAAAATACTTATCTCACCACAAATTAATGAAATTAATTATGACAATCAAATATATTTTATTTAACAAGTGTGTATATTTTATTTTAATGAAGATTAAAATTATTATTATTATTATTATTATGAAAAAAGGAGAGAAAATATTATTGTTTTTACTTTTTTGACTTGGCATAAATGATTTTTTGCTCTTAAGTATCTCCATATGTAATGGAGAATCAAAGTCACGTAATTCTTTAGTAAAAAATATTTGCATGTTGAAATTTTTAATTAAATTATGTAGTTATTAAATTTTAAAAAAATTAACTGTCATAATTCATACATCTTAAATTATAAAATTTACATAGGTGTACATTAAAGTCAATTTACTATAATATTTAATTTTTATAATAGTTATTATGGCATAACAAATTTAATCCTTTTTCTAGTAAATTTTGTTACAATGTTTTTAAATATTTAGCAAAATTTTATAGTAGTATTTTTAATATTTATGATATGAATTATACATTTTAATTGATTTAGAGAAAAACTTTAAGATAACAAATTATCGCAACTTATATCCTTAAACTCTTAGTTCGAGAAACTGTCACATTCAAATAATCATTTTTCTGTCAGATGTTATTTAATCATTTTCTTGATAGATTATAAAATTTGATTTTAACTAAAGCTTATACTTTATGGAATATATTATTTTAAAGGATCTTAAGATTATCACATTATAATATGTACCTCAACAAATTATAAGATTGAGAAAATGTCACATCTAATTAACTTTTTTCTATTTAAAATTTCATCAAAAATTTAATTATATCATAAAACTTGTATTAGAATTATTCTTTATATAACCATGCATTGTTATTATTATGATTATTATTAATTTTGGATTGAACCGTAAAACCTTACTTTTAAATTAATAGGAAATTTAATTATAAATTTATGTTATCACTTATAATTAGGATATTCTACGGTAAGAATGAGTTATGTACCATTTAACATAAATATAATACGGTATCAAGAGAAGAATGAATAATATTAACTAGAGGTAAAATAAAGAAGATATTTGAAAGTGTCTTTGGATTTTTGTTTAATTCAAAGAAGTTAAAATCATTAAATGACAATGAATTGAGAGAATGCTGTGTTAACATTCACTCTACCTTTTCTTAATTACGACAATTTATCATATATTGATTTAGATGATTTTTTCTTTGAATTGAAAGTATTAAAACCATTTTGCCTAATAACTTGATGTCAACATTGAAATTCTTGAGTTTATCAAAGTTGTAGATTGTTATCCAAATTTCTCAATTGTTTACAGAATTTTATTAACCGTATCTATCACTGTCACATTAGCTTGAAGAAGTTTTTCAAATATAAAATTAATAAAAACTTACTTAAAATTGTCAATGTCTTAAGAAAGGTTAAATGATTTGATAATTCTATCTATTGAGAAAGATTTATTAGATAACATTGATGTCGATGTTATCATTGTTGATTTTGCATCTAAAAGTGTTAGAAGAAATCTTTTTTTTTTTAATGATAATTTGTGTTTTTCCTTTTGTAGGTGATGATCAACAAAATGCCTAGAAAAAATTATTTTGTCAATAATAAAAGATAGCATGTGATTTTATTGAAGAAAAAAATGTAAACTATATTTTAAAATATTTTTGAAATTCTGCTCATATTATGTATAAACATATATTTTTATTTATTAAAATTACATATTTATCTTTTTTATATATAATTTAATTATTAAAATACTTATAAATAAAGGACCCTTATATATTATACCAGACCTACAAAACATCGAGAAGGACCACATCCCAAATTCATCTAAAATGGGATGCTTAGTATTATATTTTTCCAAGTTAATAGAGAACGTGTACAAAATATCGAGAAGGACTACATCCCAAATGCATCTAAAATGGGATGTTTAGTGTTATATTTTTCCAAGTTAATAGAGAACGTCTGCACCAATCTTTATCCATTTTTTTTTCTTAAAGTTTTAATTTTTTAACTTATAATTTCACAACTTTTACTTTTTTGTTTCTATACTTAAAAATATCTTATTTTAGTTTTTAGTCATATCATTTTATTTTCTCTTAGTTCTATTAGAGTGTTGTATATGTTTATATGGATTAAAAGAAAATGTTTATACAAATATAAGAATTGAAAGTGAAAATTTATGTGAATATAAGAATTAAAAAGAAATATTTGTTATTATAAGAACTTAATATATATATATATATATGTATATATATATATATAAAGATTAAAATAAAAAATTTTAATTATAAGAAATAAAATGTAAAGTATAACTAAATAAATAAAAAATGAAAGCACGTGATGGATAAGTTTCAAATTTACTGACGGATATCAATTTATAGTACCATCTTCTCCCAAAAGTTAAGATAATTTGTAGCGTAGCGAATTCCCATGGAATCTCCATCGAGAAGTTGCGTGTGCCACATGGTGGCCATGCCCTACCCTGCTCGCGGCCACATAAACCCCACCATGAACTTCTGCAAGCTGCTAGTCTCCAACACCACCGACATCCTCGTAACCTTTGTGGTCACCGAAGAATGGCTCGGCTTCATCGCCTCCGACCCCAGACCCGACAACATCCGCCTCCGCTCCATCCCCAACGTGGTCCCGTCGGAGCTCACTCGCGCAAACGACCACCTCGCCTTCATGGAAGCTGTCATGTCCAAAATGGAAGCGCCCTTCGACCACCTACTCCATCGCCTTCAGCCGCCGCCTACGCTGATCTTAGCTGACACTTTTTTGTACTGGGCGGTGGCCGTTGGAAACCGAAGGAACGTTCCGGTGGCGTCGTTTTGGACCATGTCGGCGTCTATTTTCTCTGTGCTCCACCACCATCACCTTTTGGAGCAACATGCTCATTACCCTCTCAATTTCTCAGGTAACTAACGTCACCCTTCATTTATTGAACCGTAGAGTTAATCTCCAATAAAGCATTTTTTTTGGTGCAAGTTTTGTTCACGGGTACCAAAATTTTCTGTGACTAAAATCATATAAATAATGATGTGTTAATTTTATAAAAAAAACTTTTTTTTAAGAATACTTTAATATTTATTATTTAATCTTAATTAATTTATAATTTTTTAAATAATAATTTTTAACTTATTTAAATATGTTTTATCTTTTTCATCACTCTATTTGTTTCATTTTCATTTTTCTTCGTCTCTCTAGCACATCTGTGGTTCCAGTGCTCTAAAATTTACTCTTCCTATCAAAAACTTCATCAAAGACTGATACTTCACCATGTATCCTTCGTTCCACGTATCACATTTTGTTAGTCATTTTCTTTCTATTACTGTATTTGATGGAGCATCTCTCAAACGTAGAATTTTTTACTAAAATAATATTTTTTTAAAAATTTTTTACCAAAAAAGCATCTGTACAACTTTATTTACCTAAATAAAACCTTTTACTGTTCATGTTCAGAATTTGGTTCCCGGGAACCAAATTCTGAACTTCAAATTTCTTTTTTTAGCTCAGAATTCGGTTCCCAGGTAACCGAATTCTGAGAAGTGTTTAAATTCTTTTTTTCTTTTCTGTGTAATTCGGGTTGTGGGTAAATATTGCAACCGGAACGGCACGTTCTCCAAGCAGAACGGGCCGTTCTGCTTGCACGAATAATCTGTTATTTTTGAAACTGGAACGTCCAAGCAGAACGGCCCGTTTTGATGATTTGTCATGTGTGTGTTTTTGTATCTGGAACGGCCCGTTCTGAATGGAGAACGGGTCGTTCTCCTTGCAGAACGGCTCCTTGCAGCACGGCCCGTTCTGCGTTCTCCATTCAGAACGGGCCGTTCCGGTTCCAGTTTTACATCATTTTCCAGGAACCGAATTTTGAACATGAACAGTAAAAGGTTCTATTTGGGTAAATAAAGTGGTACAGATGCTTTTTTGGTAAATTTTTTTTTTAAAAATTTTATTTTAGTAAAAAATTCCTCAAACGTAACTGCGAAGCAGTCATTCACAGACGCGTGGGTCCAAGCGAACATCTCCAAGTACTACCCCGCCACGCAGATTGAAACCATCGCTGTGGGCAACAGTGTTCGTGGACCCCAACAACACCACCAAGTTCCTCGTCCCAGCCATGAAGAACGTCCACGCCTCTCTCGCAAAGCAAAACCTCGACACCGCCATTAAAATCTCCTCACCGCTCGCACTCTCTGCGCTTCAAAACTCCTTCCCCGCCTCCTCCGGCTCCTTCAAAATCGAACTCGTTGAACCGGTTATCAAGTCCATGCTGGAGTTTCTCCGCAAACCGGTTCCTACCTCATGCTCAACGCTTATCCTTTTTTGCATACGCCTCTAGAGAGAAGAGAAAAAATGAAAATGAAAGGGTAGGGAGATGAAAAAGATAAAATATATTTAAATAAGTTGAGGGCTATTATTAAAAAGTTATAAATTAACGAGAGTTAAATAATAAATATTAAAACATTCTTAAAAAATAAAAGTTCTGACAAAGTTAACACATGTCATCGTTTATGTGGTCCTAGTCACAGAAGATTTTGGTATTCCCTAAACAAAACTTGCACCAGAAAATGCCCTCTAATGCTTTTGTTTTTTTTTCTTAAAAAATGTTATTTTAGTCTCATTATTTTATATGATGTTTTAGTCATTATTATTCTTATTAAGTCATAACACAGTTAGGCTTGATGATACTAAATTAAGTTTTTTTTATAATGTAATAGGGGGTTTAAAGTTCAATAAAATTACTAAAAATTACGAGAAAAAATTACAGTAAATTTATCTATAAATAGGAAAAAATAAATCTAATTAGGTGGAGAATTGAAACAAACAATTTCATTAAATAATAAAAGACTAAATTTAGCAAGACTATTAATTACTTAATTAATTTTTCTAAGAATATGAACACAAACTACGATATATGTTAATTTATTATATATTTTGTTATAGTCTACTAGTTGACGGTTTGTTACACCACATGGCATACAAACAATCTTGCAAAGAAGGTCTATACAATTTGGTATTTGTCGCTTAAACCTTTATTCTTGTATAACAAAAAAAAATAGCTCATAAATAATTTTTAAGGTAGTTATAACAAAGATGTAAAACTACGATATATGTTAATTTTTTATAAATTGATGTCGTTTATAGTATTAATGTATGTTTTATTTTCTCTTCTAAATAAGATGAACAAAAATGAAAATATTCTAATATGAAAAGAATTAATAATAGTGTTTTTAGTTTTTGAAAATAATTAAGTTTTTGTTTTTGTTTTCGTCTCTGACTTTTAAAATAATAGTTTTAATTTATATTTTTTTAAATGCTTAATTTTTGCTCCATGTATAAGGGAAAAATATTAGCATCAGGTATATTAAAGTCTTGCAATTTTAAAAATATAAGATGAAAACTGTTGATTTTAAAAGTCGGAGGCCAAAACTAAAATTTTAAAATTTTTTGGGGGTAAAAATACCATTAACCCTAAAAACATGTGTAAAAAGCTTATAAATTTATAGGAACTGAAATAATAACACTAGAATAAAATGAAGCAAAATAATTTTCTAAAGATGAAAACAAGAAGAAAAAAATACGACCAGAAAAGATAATCTTATATTATAAAGACTGAAGTTATTTAAGTTTAAAATATTTAAAATTATTAATAATTATGTGAAGTTGCATGAGATTCTAATTCTGATATTTGGAGACATTGAAGTTAATTGAATGTGTTTGCTTAACTGGTGCGAGCCAGAAAACGGTGGCAAACGTGTGGATTACATTCCTGGAATATCCCCAACGCGCCTCGTAGATTTTCCTCTAAATGATGGCAGTTTCCGCAGCAAGCGAACTATGCAATTGTGCCTCAAAGGTTTCGCGTGGGTTTCCAAAGCACACTGTATCTTATTCACTTCCATTTACGAGCTGGAGCCTCGAGCCATCGATGTCCTAAAGGCAGAGTTCTCTTTGCCCATATACACTATTGGCCCTGTCACACCTTATTTCAGCCTTCAAAATGAAAACAACCCCACTTTGAGTTATAGCTACATGGAGTGGCTTGATGCACAACCCCTTGCTTCTGTTCTTTACATCTCACAAGGTAGCCATTTCTCGGTTTCAAGGGCTCAAATTGATGAGATGGCATTTGCTTTGAGGGAAAGTGGCATTAGGTTCTTGTGGGTAGCACGTGGTGAGGCTTCAAGGTTGAAACAAATTTGTGGGGACATGGGGTTGGTTGTGACATGGTGTGACCAAGTGAGAGTGTTGTCACATTCTTCTATTGGAGGATTTTGGTCCCATTGCGGGTGGAATTCCACAAAAGAAGGTGTGCTTGCTGGGGTTCCGTTTTTGACTTTCCCAATAATCATGGACCAACCACTTGATAGTAAGATGATTGTGGAGGATTGGAAGGTTGGGTGGAGGGTGAAGGAAGACGTTGACGTAAATGCTTTGGTAAAAAAAGATGAAATTGTGATGCTAGTGAAGACATTTATGGATTTTGATAATGAGCTTGCAAGGGAAATCAGAGAGAGATCCAAGACTCTTGCGGGGATTTCTGGTCGAGCAATTACAGATGGTGGATCAGCTGTAACTGATTTGAATGCCTTTATTAGGGATTTAATGCAGACCGAACATTAATGCCACAAAACAACATTAACCTGGTACATGCACTTGTTTTCAATTTCATGGAAATCAGTACTTTATTTGGATTCTTAAAAGTGCTTTTAATAAGTATTACTCCCTCTATTTTTACTCCCTCCGTTTTTTTTCATAGTCGTTTAAGGTTTTGCACGGGAATTAAGGAAATCATTGATATTTTAGTTTTCAAAAATATTTATTACTTACTTTCCTATTTTACCCTTTTTTTTATACATTTTTTAGACTGTTGAACTACTCCATTAAATAGTTGTCACTTTTTTTGTTTTTTTATAGTATTTTGTTGGGAACATATTGCTCTTATAAATGAACATTAACTTTATATGAGTAGTTAAAGAAAAATTAGGTAGATATTAAAAATAAATACACACATTATTCAAGAAACATGTATTAATTATCAAAGGTAAAAATGGAAGAAAAAAATTAATAACTCATTGATTTTAGTAATATGACAATGAAAAAAAAAACAACAAACTCTGACAAAACGACTATGAAAAAAAAATGGAGGGAGTATTTCATAGTCGTTTAACATTTTATACGGGACTTAAAGAAATAATTGATATTTTAGTTTCTAAAAATATTTATTACTTATTTGTTATGCACCTTTTGAGAAATTCATGAATTAATGCATTGATTATTAGAATACACATGTGAACTGTAACATACTCCATTTAATCACATCTGTGCATGAATTAATGCATTAATTATTAGAATATACATGTAAACAGTAACCTACTCCATTTAATCACATAGGTGGTTGAAGAAAAAATAGGTAGACATTAGAAATAAATAGACACATTGTTTAATAAACATACATTAATTATCAAGAGTAAAAATGAAAAAAAAATAATAAATCATTGATTTTAGTAAAATAACAAGAGTTAATCACCTATACACTGTCAATGTAAAGTTTTTTTACACTGACAACCAATCATATCTTTTAATAGTGTCATGTCAGTTGCTTATTTAATGAAATAAAAATAAAATAAAATAATTTAAAAGATTTGATTAGTTGCTAGCGTAAATTTACACTGACAGTGTATAGATAATTAACTCAAATAATAATTGAAAAAAACAATAAAATACTGACAAAACGATTATAAAAAAATGGAGGGAATATGATTTATTGATTCAAATTGAGATAATATGTACAAAATCTCAATTTCAAATTCCATAATATCATTATAATTTTAATGAATTAAAAGAATTTTTTTTAATGAACCATCTCATGTCACGTAATTTTTTAGAAGTCCCTCTATTTTTCCCTCTCTAATGATAAAAGCCATTTGGGATTTTTAATCCAATTTTTTTCAACTTCTCCTCTGCTTTTTTCTCATTTGTCTATTTTTTTTAAAAGGTGTAAATTAATTAATAGGATAAGGTATATCAATTGATTAGAAAATAATTTATACAAAATTAAACTTTAACAATGACAAATAAATATATCAATTTTCTCCTAAAAATTAAATTAATACCTAAAAAAGTATAATGAATATTCTTTTGTTTTTCTGAATGCTTTTCCATCCTCATATTCCAATTTTTGAGATTGAACCATTTGCAATAATGACTTTTTGTATAAATTAAATTAAAAAATTAAAAATATACAAAAAAAAACATATTATCGTTTTAGGTGATTTCTATCACGTGACAAACCACTAAAATAATGTAGAGGACATGTGAATTCTAAAAGGAGAAGATGACGCAAGAGGTCCCCTGCTCCAATGTTTTCTGAACACTACTGCACCTGTCACGTCCGTGTCAGCCTTTAACCTACATGATGCAGGGGTTCCTGCGCTTTACGTGTCTATTACATGATGCAAGGGCTTGACTGCTCCATCCATGTCACTTATATTATTTTTATATCATATTTTAAATGCATATATTCGATTGTTATGTTAAAAATATATTTTTAATTAATTCCTATAATATATATTTACAAATTTCTATCCAAATCAAAACAATTATTCATTCTAACAATTAAGTTTCTAACAACTTTTAAAATTATTTAAAATAGTTAAATTAAATTTTTAACAATTAATTTTTAAAACAGTTAAATTTAATTTTTAACAATTATTCTATCCATTAAATTCTAACAATTAAATTTTTACAAACAATTCAATTCTTATAGAAACTAATACAACTTTATTAAAAAAAATTAAATTAACCATCACTCAAATAATATACATTAGATTCATCAAAATTATTATTATATTATTTAACTAATCCAAATAATTCAATAGGCCAAACATTTTAATTAAAAATATTTAACAACTAATTTTAAAATAATTACAACATAGAACAATATTTAAAACAATAACACAATTTTTTTTAGAGACATATAAACATAAAATAATTATATTAGTAAGATAACCTTTTTTGTAAAAAAAATTTATCTATTTTTTCGTTTCATAACTTACTACAAAAATCAAATTTAATCAAATTATATTAATTAATTTATTTAAAATAAATAAAATCTACATATATTTTAAATAATTTTAACAATTATTTTTAAAATAACAGATAATTATTTAATATTTATATGCGAGTCAATTATTCTAAATTTAATTATTATAAAAAAATATATATTGTTTTTATCAAATTTTAAACACATACATTATATTTCTTAAATTTACAATATATAATGAATTTTAAAAAATAAAAACTATATACTTACTTGTAATCAATTTGCAACAATAGATGGAGAATTAAATTTAGTTATCTAACATGCAAAATAACACAAAAAAATAATAAAAAACAAATAAATAAATAAACAAAAAATTATATATAAAAAATTCTAACTTACAACATATGAGCAAGGAAGAAAGAGGTTAGAAATGAGCAATGAGAGTGAAAATGAATTTATAAAGGGGGAATGTGGGAGAAGAGGGTGGGGCGCTGTGTAACAGACATGCAAAACGCAGACGTAGGAGACTCCTTGCATCATGTCGGTCAAAGACTGACGCGAACTTGGCAGATATAATATTGCTCAAAAAATAGTTGGGACAAAAATATATTTTTTGTCCCTTATATTATTTATTAGTGTCAATTTGGTCTCATTTTAATTAATTGAATCAATTTAGTCTCACATCTTTAAAATGTATCTCAATATTTGACCTTATATTTTTTTCGTTTAAATACTTAACAGATCTGACACATAGCATGATAACATGACACGTGTCATGCTACCATGCCATATATCATGTCATCATACCACGTGTCATTTTAATGGTTTACCATCTTCTCCTTTCATAATTCACATGTCCTCCCTATGCTATTTTAATGGTTTATCATGGGACAAAAATAACTTAAAATGATAATATATATATATATATATATATATATATATATATTATTTATTTCATTATTTTTAATTTTTTATATTAAATTTGTAAAAAAAAAACCTGCAATTATTCATAGCACCATCAACACACATTTTTACAGGTCCCACAAGAACAAACCAGTAATAAGAGCACCTCCAATTGGGGGTGCTTACTGTGTTGCTTAAGAATAAGCAACGGTGCTTATAAAAACCTCCCATTGGAGTGGTCCTACATGGTAACTCAGTTGCTTAAATTTTTTTCCAGTTGCTTGTACAAGGAACAGTGCTTAGCACTGACAAATTTGAGAAAAAGAAACGTGATTGGCTGATAGGAATCCAGGTGGAATATAAAAGGGGTTTTGAAAATAAAAAAAAATAGATAAAACCTCCATCTTTAGGTTCTTCCTCCGTTGGGCATGTGCGAAAGCCGCTGGACGTTGGAGGAAGGGTTGTTGACGCCGGCCACCGGTTGCTGGTCGCGCGTCTTCGACGGCGCGTCTCCAGCCACGCTTAGCTGTCTGGACCACGGAGCACCCCCCTAACTCGCGTGCGCGACTCCACCGCCATGAGTACCTCCGCGTGCGCCCAACTCTGTTGAACCAGACCTCACCGGTTTGGAACTGCCTGACTAGCCCAATCAGACCCCCGGTCCGCGCGCGCCTCCGCTCGACTAGCCCCCTCCGCGCGCGACCTCCGACGACAGAACCCACCAACCCGCACGCGACATCCGAACGACGAAACCTTCCGGCGCGCGGCTCCGCATGAGAGACTCCTTCGCACGCGCGCCTCTCCACACGAAAGAACCCTCCACGTGTGTGCGGCTCTGCATGACTAACCCCTCCGCGCGCGCGCCTCATCGCGCGACTAACCCCCTCCGCGCGCGCGCCTCATCGCACGACATACCTCCCTCGGTGAAAGCTTGAGTGAAGAGAAAAAGAGAGTGAAGGGAAAAAGAAAGAGAAATGTGAAGATAAAGAGAGAGTGAATAGAGAGTGATGGACGTGAATAGAGAGTAAGAGACGTAAATAAAAAATAAAATAAAAAAAGAGACGAGAGACGTTGGTATTTCTTTTTTTTTTGTATTTTTTTTATCATATAATTTCTTTTTATTATTGTAATTTTTGGTATTTCTGTTTGTTTTGTAATTTCTTTTAGGTTAAATACCTCTTTTGGTCTCTGATAACAACTTTTTGTTTCAATTTAGTCTCACTTTAATTTTAGGTCTCAATTTGGTCCCCAATAATTTAAATCATTGCAATTTGGGACTTCCGTCTAAATGATTTAAACGGAGTTAACTGGTGCCCACGTGGATGCCACGTAGATGCCACGTAGGTGGATCTCAAAATACGTGAAGACACCTGGAACCAAAACGGCCCGTTCTGAAACCTGAAACCAGAACGGGCCGTTCTGGTTCCAAAATTTCGTGAAAAAAATACAGTACAAAGCATTTCAAACACTAGATTTGGTAATATTGTTAAGGCTTAAATATGTCTTTAATCCCTCAAATTTAAGACAAATCTGTTTTTGGTCCCTCAAATTTAAAACTGTTTTTTTTAGTCCTTGTAATTTTCAAAAATCTTGTTTTAATCCCTTAGGTCACCAATAACATATTTGAAAGTGACTAATTAAGACAATTATGCAATATCAACTGGATTTAATGTGATATTTTCACTAATAAGGACATCAATAAGTAGATTTTATGCAATAATATTTGATAAATTTCTTAACAAAATTTGAATATAAGGACTAAAATAAGATTTTTTTGAAATTACAGGGACTAAA